TGACAAGAACTCTGTGAAAGGGAAGGTATGCATTGATGACTACTATTGCATGTAGGGCTTTGGGGGGGGAAGTTTAGAAAATGACTTGCAATGGTGACAAGAACTCTATGCAAGGGAAGGATTTGCATTGAGGAATACCATTGCATGCAGGGCTTTGGGGGGGGGAAGTTTATAAAAAGACTTGCAATCGTGAGAAGAACTCTATGCAAGGGAAGGATGTGCATTGAGGAATACCATCGTATGCAGAGCTTTGGGGGGGGGAAGTTTAGAAAATGACTTGCAATGGTGACAAGAACTCTATGCAAGGGAAGGATGCGCATTCAGAAATACCATTGCATGCAGAGCTTTTCGGGGGGGAAGTTTAGAAAATGACTTGCAATCTTGACAAGAACTCTATGAAAGGGAAGGATGTGCATTGAGGAATACCATTGTATGCAGAGCTTTGGGGGGGGAGTTTATAAAAATGACTTGCAACCGTGAGAAGAACTCTATGCAAGGGAAGGATGTGCATTGAGGACTACCATTGCATGCAGAGCTTTGGGGGAGGGAAGTTTAGAAAATGACTTGCAATCGTGACAAGAACTCTGTGAAAGGGAAGGATGTGCATTGAGGACTACCATTGCATGCAGAGCTTTGGGGGGGGGAAGTTTAGAAAATGACTTGCAATCGTGACAAGAACTCTGTGAAAGGGAAGGATGTGCATTGAGGAATACCATTGCATGCAGAGCTTTTGGGGGGGAAGTTTAGAAAATGACTTGCAATCGTGACAAGAACTCTGTGAAAGGGAAGGTATGCATTGATGACTACTATTGCATGTAGGGCTTTGGGGGGGGAAGTTTATAAAAAGACTTGCAACCGTGAGAAGAACTCTATGCAAGGGAAGGATGTGCATTGAGGAATACCATTGCATGCAGAGCTTTGGGGGGGGGAAGTTTAGAAAATGACTTGGAATCTTGATAAGAACTCTATGCAAGGGAAGGATGCGGGACAGTGTGGAGTTGCTGAATCGGGACAGGTTGGAGTTGCTGAATCGGGACAGGGTGGAGTTGCTGAATCGGGAGAGGGTGGAGTTGCTGAATCGGGACAGGGTGGAGTTGCTGAATCGGAACAGGGTGGAGTTGCTGAATCGGGACAGGGTGGAGTTGCTGAATCGGGACAGGGTGGAGTTGCTGAATCGGGACAGGGTGGAGTTGCTGAATCGGGACAGGGTGGAGTTGCTGAATCGGGACAGGGTGGAGTTGCTGAATCGGGACAGGGTGGAGTTGCTGAATCGGGACAGGGTGGAGTTGCTGAATCGGGACAGGGTGGAGTTGCTGAATCGGGACAGGGTGGAGTTGCTGAATCGGAACAGGGTGGAGTTGCTGAATCGGGACAGGGTGGAGTTGCTGAATCGGGACAGGGTGGAGTTGCTGAATCGGGACAGGGTGGAGTTGCTGAATCGGGACAGGGTGGAGTTGCTGAATCGGGACAGGGTGGAGTTGCTGAATCGGGACAGGGTGGAGTTGCTGAATCGGGACAGGGTGGAGTTGCTGAATCGGGACAACCCGGAGTTTCTGAATCCTTGGAGTTGCTGAATCGGAGTTGCTGAATCGGGTAAAGTTTCTGAATCGTAATTTATTCATTAATCCAGGGTTGACATTAATGGGATTATAATGGGTTTCAGAAGTCATGGGGTATCCCCAAGTCACCATGGGGTGTCCCCGTTTTCCTGCGCCTCAAATCAAAGAGCCGCAGCACATCTCGAGGGTTTTTCGGCAACTGCTTGGGGTTTGTGCCTGTGGCCGCCACCTGCGCGAATGGAATGTCTCAGCGAAAACCATGGACGGCCGGAAAAGAATCAGGTCGTGTATGTTGTGTTTCTTCTTTTTTAAATCAACATATGGTACAAACCATACGTTTAGTATAGAATTTCTATAGAATCAACATATTTCTATAGAACCCCTCTAATCAACCTCACTGGTACAATCATTGGACTCCCAATCAATGATGTCCCGGAAAAAAACATCCAGATCTATCCAGATCTCCTCAATTAACCGATCGGAAAACCGGCTTTCCGAAATAGTACCTTAAAAAAACACATGGATGATACTATGATGATACAAAAAAAGTATCTGAGGCTCTTGGGACTTGCTTAAAGATTTTTCTGTGGGGGCATTGCTATTTTTTTTTGAGCAGTGTTCAAAAGCCCTTGTGTCATCAGTGTATCCCGGCGGGTTGATAGTTTCCAGCCCATGGATTATGATAATCTCCAATCTGCCAGGTAACATGACCATACAATAATGGTAACCATTCTGATGGGTTATATGTGGTAACATGTGGTAACCAATCTGCCAAGTATATGATCATATATGGATTATGATGATCAATACACTTCATGAACATAGCCGAAATAAAGCCACTTGGAGACGATTTCCCTTACGAACCATCATAGTAATTCAGCCAAACATACGTACCCTCTGGTAATTTAACATAGCTATTGAAGATGGTCATTTATAGTGGATTTACCCATTAAAAATGATTATTTTCCATTGTTTTTTGTATGTTTACCAGAGCGTACGTATGTTTTTCCACCAAACAAAATGTCAAAGAGTTGGACATCTGGAAATTCTATGAGGTAAATGGACATCTATCATCTCTACCATCCGAGAAACGCCCCTTTTAGGCATCCTTTGTTTGGGGTTTACTATCCATATAAGATATGGTTGGAGAAACAAAGTTTACTAACATCAATTCCAAATGATTTCACCATCATATTAATTAAATCTAAATATATCATATTACAATATATTACATATTACTAAGCATAAACTTCCTAAGCTTCTACATGGATGTCTTCCCCACGCCTCTGCACTGGTGGGGAATCCAGCTCTTACGGCTTGCGTCTCCAACATTGTCACGCCGATGGCGGATTCCAGTGCACCAACCTCGCGGTGCCGAGATGGAAAAGATGTCGACAACTACCCTCTGGTAAACTAACATAACTATGGAAAATCACCATTTTTAATAGGTAAACCATCTATAAATGGGTCATTTTCCATGGCTATGTTAAATAACCAGAGGGTATGTGCTGGTTGGTGGTTGATCTACCCCTCTGAAAAATATGAGTCAGTTGGGATGATGACATTCCCAATATATGGGACAATAAAAAATGTTCCAAACCACCAACCAGTGTGGAAAACTGGGAGAAACATCTGATTATCTGGGTCAATGTTCATATCTATCTGGGGTAAATGATTTCGTAATTCGCTCATCTGAAAAGAATAAGGTCATTTGGGGAAGATTCCCAACTCCTAACCATCATTTTTTTGTGGGTCGCGACGTGAGGTCGATGAAACGTATGGTTTTGTTGTGATGTAAATATATCTAAATTGCCTGTTGGGGGATATGATGATATGGTCATGAATCCTCTACGGATCTATACATGCATTATATGGAATTATATTATGGGATGGGTGGCCATGCCACACACACATATATATACATACATATATACACCATGTTTTGACCATGGCGCATATGGGTTATATGGGTCTGGCTTAAAAACGAAGCGTTACCGCCAAAGCTTATGGCAATTTCTTGAATGGGAAAGATGATGATCAACGATTTAGAATTAGATACAAATTTAGATAAGTTATTATGTTTGTAATATATCATTTGCGGGCATCCGACTCTGCGGCACATGGTACCTTCTGGCACCAATTTTCTCGTGAAATCTTCGGCAAAAACACTCATCGACAAAGGTTACCACAGTGGATTTAGAAGCAACAATGCCACTAACCAAGTAGAAACATCGTAAGCAATTCTACATATTCCTATATATTAATATATATATATTACTATGATGCTGATGAAGCCTCAACATTGTGTCGCCCAGTCCAGGCCAAGTAGCTATGCCTTCTAACTCGGGCACCCAATTCCTCAAGCGACTGCGGCGCCATTGTTCTGGTGCCCAGTGGTATTTCAGGACGTAGCAGTTCTGTAGACATCGCCGGGCCTGGATCGAAGAGCTACTTTTCGAAGGGCAACAAAAAACCGTTCCGATGTCGTGGACAAAATAAGTCAAGACTTATTTCAGCTGTTGAGTAAGCTGAAATCGGACTTTTTCGATGACTTTTCAGTAGATGTTCTTCATAATTTTTCATCTAATTGGCGGTTTCAATCCCTCTGAAGAATATGAGTCAGTTGGGATGATGACATTCCCAATATGATGGGAAAGTCATTCAAAATTCCATGGTTCCAGTCACCAACCCGTAACCAGTTCATAATTCTTCATAGCCTCATAGCCTGTTCATCCTGTTCTCTTCGTTGCATCTGCACCATCCCAGTTCAATCGCCACCTTGATGCAAGCCAACAGCGCTTCCCATGCTGATTGGCCTTGGGCTGCAAGATCTGGAGGCAGGGATTCCGAATCCCTGCCAGTCAACAAATGGTATCTCCGATGGCCCATGTTTACCATATAGAACTAATCATGTATAATCATATGCTAATATATATATATATATCCGTATTCTGGTTATTCTGGTTCGTATCTTCTGGTTACATCGTGCTTATTGTGGCAGGCATTTTCCACTTCAGGCATCCCATAGCCCATCGTCATTGCAGGATTGGGAATCGGATGGAATCGGCTATGGCTTGGGGCCCAATTGGAGAAACACCTGGGGTGAATCCCAAACTTAGGATAAGTGGACCACATGAAAAATCAGTTCCACTTCGATTTTCTGGTTGAAACAGTGTACTTGTTGGTTGTGACGTAATAAACAGCAGTAGTGTATGAACATCCTAATTTTAAAACCCGAATGAAGACTAATTACACAACCGTCTACTACGTCCCTCCTTGAAATTCCCTATTTTTTGGCTGGTTCAACCTCCAAAATCATGTAGAATAGGTAAAAACCATGTAAAGTAATCTTCCCCCCTCTCTCTCTCTCTCATCGCCATGATGTTAAATCCACATATATATATATATGTATTTAACTAGTAAAACCATGGGATAACACAACTAACCGCCCCAAAAAACATGTTGTTCCAAGGCTCGACCACCTCTCGACTCTTGGGAAATGGCCGACAGGAAAGAGGAATCGCCGTCTCCACGTGGCTCTTCGATGCTGATTCCCAGGTTGAACTCCTGAAAAGTTCATGGATCAACTTGGTCAAAACAATGGGGAGAAAACTCTGGAGAACTCTAAGAACAGAAATGAGTTCTTAGAACTCTAGAAATGGGAATTTTGATGGGGTGTACATATTGGGGTTTGAGATCTTTGGAAACTGACATGGAAGCGTGAGAATGATCTCGAGAAATGGGGATTCTTCTTGGTGAATGGAGATTTTGCAGGCGGAATCTTAGCCATCAACATGCAGGCGGCTACCCTCTGGTAAACCTACAAAAAGCTATGGAAAATCACAATTTTCAATGGGAAAACCCACTATTTCAATGGCCATTTTCAATAGCAAACTGTTAGTTTACCAGAGGCTATCTCCAACCCTGAGGATTTTACTGCACTGGAAATGTCTGGAGATGAACCCAAGGAATGCTCAGAAAAGCCAAATACTTGAATTTGCGACTCAAGACACCCCAGAAAATCTGAAACCTATTCCCTGTAGATTCCTCAAATGGTTTATTTATGTCAATTTTCCATTGGGGAAATTTGAAACATATTGAGAAATTCCAGGAATCTCATCCAGGGATGAAAAGAAATGAAGAGATCCGGGGCTTTAAAGCTATGTGGATTCATGGCGATGTGACAAGAATGATGATGGATATTTCTTGGATTTAACATGATTTCACCAGGAAACATGGTGAACAAACACTGGGATAATTACATGTAATTATTGATCATATCACCCCATATTGGGATATTGGGATGATAGGGCACCAAGAACTGGCTGATCATGGTGATCCAATTTGCCAAAACCGCTCCTCGGCCAGAGATAGCAAGGCCCTGAAAAGGAGTTTCCTTGGCGGACCGGCCACGTCCAAGAAGGACCCATGACACCGTGAGATCATGTCACAGACCCCCCTTGAAACGGCATAAGTCAGACATAGAAAAAGCATCAGTTGTTTCATGTTGTTCTTGTAACTTCCAAGATCTTGAAGATCTCAAACCAAACCATCTTAAAATGATTTAAGATTTACCCAAGTAAACCAAGTCCTTGAACAAAAACAACATGATTTACTCAAGGACAAACAACGCCTCTTCCCCCCAACGAAAGCATCAGAATCCCCTGTCATGATGTCAATTGGATTCAAGAGAACATCAAAAACAAACATGTTCTGATTCATGAAGCTCAAAGTATATTTCATAGAAAAAAAACGATGGTTTCCTGTAGATTTCCTGTAGATTTCCTGTAGATTTTCTTTTTAAATCAATGGATTGGTTTAAGGGACAATTTGCAGGAAAGCCTCAGATGTTATGGGAAAATCTATGGTTTCCTGTCGATTTTTGCCCCCAATGATGCCAGATTTTCCCCTAGATCTTCCGCCCCGGGGAAGTACCAAAGGTTCAAGCGTTCGGGCTGGCGCTCGCTGGCTGTCCAGCCTATGTCCCAAATGTCCCAGTCCCACATGAGGCTATAGATATATAAATATGTATGTAAATTATGACATTATGAATAAACACATGGAACTAAACATACATATTATATAATTATATTTATATATGTAACTTATAGATATGTTTAAAACTATACTACGATTAATTTTTATGTATACTGACCACATTTCCGTTTTGAGATAAATGGGTTACGTAGGGGTAATTAAACACTTAATAGTTGAGATTCATATCCAAGCATCAGAGGTTTCGTCGTTCTCATTGCTTTATGAGATTGGTCTTCTCATGAAGTATCATTGAGTAAAGATCATAAGTATCATTGATACTGGCAATATCAATACTCAATGAGTATCATTCTCATGAATGAGTATCATCTTCTATGCTCATTGAGTACCCTCTGGTAAGCTAACAGTTTGCGAACTGGAAAATAACCATCTAAATGTGCCATTTTCAATAGCAAACTGTTAAATTACCAGAGGGTACCCTCTGGTAAACTAACATAGCAATGGAAAATCACCATTTTTAATGGGAAAACTCACTATAAATGGCCATTTTCCATAGCTATGTTAAATTACCAGAGGGTATCATTTTCACTGCCTCTGCCAGTCATGGCTGCCCTCCACGATCGACTACGATCGTCCTCCATCACCCGGCCTGGCATCGCTTCACGTTGCAGCTTCCACCTCAGCGTGTTGGATCATGGATGCTACAGGATGCTACAGGTGAGCAGCCTGGAATGATCATCCCAAATAGGTTTGATAAGGTATATGAGCAGCAATTAAGACTTAAGTGCCATATTTTTAAGGTCCTTGAAACATCTTGAAACGCTGAGCGTGCTTTTCCACTTTTCCCACTTTTGCATATTTTTCTTCATGTCACCGCTGGTGAATGTATAAATTTCCAACTCTCAGCTTACCCTCAATCCAACATGGCAATTGAACATTCCCAAAATGGAGGTCGAGGTCTATAGCTGGGAAAATCCACCAAAAAAATGGTGGGCTTTTCCAGCAAGCCATGCTTGGGATTACCAGAGGGTAGGTTCCCAAAAACGAGGTGATGATGCATTCTTCACTTCGAGGAGTTTTGAGTGCATTTCACTTGATATTTAATTGATTGATAACAACACAGTTCAACGATGAAAGGCCTCCTTGCTAACGAGACATGTCACTGGAATATTTCAATGCGGAACAGTTAAGTCCTTGCAAATCATCTACAAATAAGGAAGGACACTCCAAGTAACATGCGTGACAATTATCAGTTTGAAGCCATCAGTCAGTGAAGTCTATTTCGACATGGGAATGCCTCAAACTCATCTACCATACTAAACATGACCAGCCCTTTGGGGATTTGGAGCTCCCACTACCAGGTACCCCATTTGGGCCGCGCCGTAGCATATTGGCTCTTACGTCCCCATCCGCTTGGCAAAAGCGTCAACTATTTTTTTCCGTTCAGGACCGGATGGGCTAAAACCTACCCCATGTTTTTTTTGGGGAATTTACACGGATGCACATCCAGCAGAATCCCAGCAGAATCCCAGTTTTCGTAACGCCATGCGACAACTTGCCATCTCTGTTGGCTCCCTGGGGAGCCTTCGGGCTGCCTTCTGTCATGTTTCCTTCCTCAGCTGGTGGATCATCGACCATCTCCCCTGGGATCAGCATGGATCAGCCAGTTTTGCCCATAAAAACTGACACACAACAAGCTCCAAAGATATGAAAACAATCAATGAGCATATAGACTTTGCATAGCTTGCATAGATGATGACTTTCTTCCTATTTTTTTGCCATGATTTTGATGTGAAGGGATGGCTCACTCTTGGCCCGGACTCGCCAGGCACAAGTCTGGCTGAACAATTCTTCAGGGAGTGATGATCCTCACCGGAAATAGATAGATTCATAGGGTGATACTGTGGATGGTTGCGAAATCATGCACCAGTTCAAAGGTGGTAAACATCCCATTATTTATAGGGTTTCAAACATTGAAAGTGGTGCAGGATTTCGCAACCACCCACCGTATTATGTGATATCCATATCAGTCGGACCATTTTAAAAGAAGTGCAATGAAGAACTAAGGAAGCTATGAAAGATCAGGACAGAAACAGTCATAAAATGTGGTTTCACATCTTTCACCATGAAAACCCCAAAGGTGATATCTTTTGTGAGAGAAAAAACTGCTCTTGGGGGATCCCTAATCGATGGAGCCCGAATCGGACAAGCTTCTGATGTCGGTAAGCGGCATTGATAGTAATCAAAGCCTGGCAGGCTTCGAATTGGATACATCAATGGATTGGTTTAAGGAAAAATCTGCAGGAAACCATGGTTTTTACCATTAAATATGGGGGTTTCCTGTAAAATTTCCGTTAAACCAATCCATTGAATACAGCATCTAAATCCGCCAAGAAAAATCCACCAAGCATGGTCG